GTTACCTGACTAGAAAAGAGTATAACTAAATATTTGCGAGGCATATTAAGGATCTGGGATTCTAGATATGACGCTATGTAATCGAGCCTTGACTGAGCCTCTTAGCAGAAACACCAAAGATTACAGACTGGATCACTGCCTCTGTCGGCTTAAAGCTCACAGCGTGAATAAACAATGAACTTTTGCCAACTTTAGATATTCAAAAGCTAGTATATCTAAAGCTAGCTTACACTTTAAGGTTCTCGATTCAAAACTGAAGCATGTTTATGATGGAGAGATTGCTTCCTTATGGGTCTCAACATGGTAACGGATGATAGACCAGCTAGCAGCTAACATTGCTATTAGCACAAATAATAGCAACAGGGTACCAAAGCTACATGGGGTGGAGGGCCGAACTGAAAGGTGGCAGATCTGCTTCGGTGATATTATCAATGCTAACCTAGCCACCAAGGGTTTTAGTGATGGGACGTCTGTATCTGAAGTTGTCAGAGAAACAAGCTGAGCTAACGTTAGCTGCAGCCAAACAGTGTGCTGGGAGAAACTCCGATTTTCAACATGAACTTGCTTTATTCACAGCTTTTACTGATTGATTTCAGAGAGTAAGAGTCAGTAAACAGACCTCCCGAACCATCAACACAGAAGGATTCCTATCAGGGAGAAGCTAAAGGCAACAACCTAAACGCCATATGTTGTAAGCGTCTTTGAGTGTCTAGAAAAGCGCTATATAAGTGTCATGTATTATTTATTATATGAGTGTGGTTTCGAGCAGCGGCCTTTAGCTAGCTACACATGCACAAACTGCAGGAATGGCTAAACCACAGAGTGGGTGTGACTTCATTCTTTGCTAACACACACATTGCTCTACTGTATCTTTCACAAGTTGAAATGTGAAAATATGTTGCACTTCTGAACTCAACTGAATCACAGACGGGAGTGTTCGGGAGGGTCCCAGCTACAACAAACCAAACACATCTGGGATTCAGCTTCAATAGTCATGATGACGTGAGGTAAGAGAATCTAAAACATGAAGTGCAGACCTCCCTCCACAAGCTGCTTAAAAGTAATCAACACATACTTAGTTAGCTATGATAGCAGGTTAGCCTAGATTACCGTACATGGCGGGAGAATGGAAATATGTTTTTTTTACATAAATTCTAGTAAGGAGAGAAATAAACACTCCAAAAACAATTAAATTATAAAAAACAATGTGTTGTGTATTCAATATATAATTTGTTTTGCTTCTATGCAATCCCGTGCACCACATTTGAATGTTATTGAACCTGAGAATTAAGTATGCTACTTGTCAGAGTTTTTTTTGGTCCTGATCACTAGATATTGAGCTCAGGACTTTAAATGTTGGGCAAAAGTGAGCGATCTGCTGTAGAAGGAGCAAGCCACATGGTACGTCCACTCCCTTGTCCATTATGCTTCTTTCGGTTTGATCACTATCAGTACAGGAATGTCCCATCTTGAAATCAGAAAGATTTACTGTTCCCAGCTGCGTTTGACTCATGGTTCCTGAACATGTGATTCAACCACGACTTACATTTTTTTGGGGGGTGGGTACTGTATGTGTTTTCAGGTGACACATCCATCAGCTTTTATCTTTTGAGTCACTCAGTCATGAGGTTCAAACTACGATAAGATCCACCCAGCTGACAGGAATTCAAGATATAGCTAAACTAGTTCTTTCTCCAGAAACTTTTGTCTTTTGTCTTTACTTAAGCACTGGTTAAAGCAAGAGTCCGTCCTTTTACCCGCTGCCAGGCTGTTTCATCTTCTACCTCTAAAAAGGGCGATTCTTTGGCTATTTTTCAGAGATTGCGAAAGTAAACATCCTTTACTCAAGTAGAAGTATACATGCTCGTGTTCAGAAATACTCTGGTAAAAGTACTGACTAAACTTCTTTACTCAAGAAAAGTAAAGAAGTATGGGCAAAAATCCCAGAACCACACGGGGGGACCTAGTCAATGACCTGCAGAGAGCTGGGACCAAAGTAACAAAGGCTACCATCAGTAACACACTACGCCGCCAGGGACTCAAATCCTGCAGTGCCAGACGTGTCCCCCTGCTTAAGCCAGTACATGTCCAGGCCCGTCTGAAGTTTGCTAGAGAGCATTTAGATGATCCAGAAGAGGATTGGGAGAATGTCATATGATCAGATGAAACCAAAATATAACTTTTTGGTAAAAACTCAACTAGACGTGTTTGGAGGAGAAAGAATGCTGAGTTGCATCCAAAGAACACCTACTGTGAAACATGGGGGTGGAAACATCATGCTTTGGGGCTGTTTTTCT